CCCTTAAAATTTAAAACGTAGCTATTTCAGATGCAGTAAGTAAGGCCAAGGTAATTACTGAGTTTCAAATTTTGTCCTATTCCTTAGTTCGCTCCTGTAAATTCACTACTATCAGTCCAAATTCCCTGAGATTTAAAAAAAAAGCACTACATTTCAGACCCCTAGTAAAATAAATCAGAGCAAATTACCGAGTTTCAGCTCTCATCTCCTGCCTTAGTTCGCTCCTGTAAATTTACTACTATCAGTCCAAATCCCCTGAGATTTAAAACCCAACTACATTTCAGACCCCTGTAAAATAAATCAAAAAGCAAATTACAGAGTTTTAGCTCTGGTCCTCCAATTTTAGTTCATCAAATTAATTTGGATCAAGTCCCTCTCCAGTCTATCAAAGTAAACATCATGACCTTTAATACCCTATTTGTACTCAGCTATGTAAATAATCATCAACGTGCTAATATTTACGCGATCAGATCGCACCTTACCTTTTGTTTACTCAACAAAGCAATAATCACACTTTCAGAAATCACACCTTTCCTTTTTCCTCCCTCACCTTTCCCCCCTTACCTTCCTAAACTTCTTTTCGTCCATATCTCCCCCACACCCTTTACTTTCCCCCCTTACCTTCTCATCCCTTACCTCCCCCTTCATCTTGCCCATTTCCCAACTTATCCAACCCTTCAATAATCGTATTTGTATATTTTATCTATATTCAATGTGTTCTTTGCACACTCTCCTATGTTTTCTATTTTCACTCCATGTTCAGCAAGTATTTCCAGCATGTTCAGTTCATATTTTTCACCAGTTTTCTCCATTATTCTGTGTTTTTGCCATTTTCCCCGTATGTTTACTGTGTTCTTTGTCATGTTTTCATGTACATCACATGTTCTCTGTACAACTTTTATACTTAATATTCATGTTCTCAATGTTTTTAGCATATTCTTCACAAGTTCATATTCCCCGCATATACACTGTGTTCATCTCACTCTCGTTCATGTTCTCTACAAGTTCCCCTCATGTTCTTAGCATATTATTCACAAGTTCACTGTTCATTCTTTGTATTCCTTATATTCTTTGTCATGTTTTCATGTTCTCTGCAAGTTCATATTCCCCGCAAGTTCACTGTCTTCATCGCATTCCCTTACTTATTCTTTAAAATCAAATGAACCAAGACATTCTTTTCTTAACGTTCATTAACTAAAATCATTCGCCATTCAACTACAAACATAGTCACTTTCGTCATTTCTCAACTAAACTTATTATCCAATCAACTAAAAATAGTCAGGATTAACCTCGTTCAACACTGTTCTTAACTAAAATGACCTTTCTCTTAGCTATTAAAAATTGGCAAAGGAAACTTTCCAACACTGATCATAACTAATTTATCCATCGTCAATCAACCACGTTCATCATTTTTTAACTAAAATTACTCGTCAATCAACTGAAAATAGTCAGGATTAACCTCGTTCAATATTGTATTTAACTAAGATAACCTTTCACTTCGCAAAAATAGTCAAATGTAACTTCTTTCAGTACTTTCTCAACAGCCATTATGAGTAAGAGTCAAGTAAGAAAAAATTGCCAAAGATATATTTTATCGCTGTTCTTAACTGACATTATGCTTTGTGGAGCATAAAAAATAGTCACTGTGTAGCCTCTTTCCAACACTGTTCTTAACTTAACTAACCTTTCACTTCGCTACAAATAGTCAAATGGAACTTCTTTCAGCACTTTTGTAACTAAAATTATGTGTCGTTAATAAGAAAAATAGTCAAAGACACCCTTCAAGACATCAAAGATACACTCTACAAGACATCAAAGACACTCTTCGAGACATTAAAGATACACTCTTCAAGACATCAAAGACACTCTTTGAGACATCAAAAATACTCTTCGAGACATCAAAGATATCAATGACACACTCAAAGACGTCAAACTTTTACTCATGTCCTCAAAAAGTTATTCTCAGAGTGATTAAAAGGTATTCTCAGTCATCAAAGTTATTCTCAGTCATCAAAAGTTATTCTCAGAGTTATCAAAAGTTATTCTCAGAGTCATCAAAGGTTATCTCTAAATCACTTTCGTTCATTAAAGTAATTCTCTAAGTCATCAAAAGTTGTTCTCTAAGACATCGAAGTTATTCTCAGTCATCAAAAGGTATTCTCACCTCCGCAAAAGTTGTTCTCTAAGTCACCTTCGTTATTCAGAGAAGCTTTCTAAGACATCTTCGTCCATCAAAGTTATTCTCAGAAACATCAAAAGTTATTCTGAGAGCTATCAAAAGTTAATCTCAGTCATCAAAAGTTATTCTTAGAGCTATCAAAAAGTTATTCTCAGTATTCAATGTTGTTCTCTAAGACATCAAAGTTATTATCAGAGCCATCAAAAGTAATCTCAGTCATCAAAGTTGTTCTCTAAGACATCAATGTTGTTCTCTAAGACAACCTCAGACATAAAATATCTCTCCAAAATATAACTAGTTCAGCTTTTCATATTAAACTTGCACTTCTGTTAAAATATATATCTAACCTAACCTAATCTATTTTATCCTATTCCTCCCCTAACTAATGTAACTTACCTAATCAAATTTACCTAACATAACCTTACTAACCTAATGTAACTTACCTAACCTAAGTTACATAATCTAACTTAACCTAACCTTCTTATCTTGAGGTTATCTTGAGATGATTTCGGAGCTTTTAGTGTCCCTGCGGCCCGGTCCTCGACCAGGCCTCCACCCCCAGGAAGCAGCCCGTGACAGCTGACTAACACCCAGGTACCTATTTTACTGCTAGGTAACAGGGGCATAGGATGAAAGAAACTCTGCTCATTGTTTCTCACCGGCGCCTGGGATCGAACCCAGGACCACAGGATCACAAGTCCAGCGTGCTGTCCGCTCGGCCGACCGGCTCCCTACCCTACCCTAACCCTAACTTAACCTACCCTAACTTAACTTGCATAACCTAACCTATCCTAACTTAACTGACCTAACCTAACCTATCCTAACTTAATGTACCTTGCCTAACTTGCAAAACCTAACCTATCCTAACCCAGCATAACTTAACTTGCATAACCTAACCCAACCTAACTTAACATAACTTAACATAAATTACCTAACCTAGGAGAAGAGTTTGTTAACTGTGTTTTCTTAATTTACTCAGAAGGATGGGGGGTTTAAATTTCAGGAAAATTGATGGGTTATTAACAAAGATATGAGAGGAAAGTAAGATCGAGGACGAGAGCTGGAGCTCGGTAACTAAATTGTCGTATTGTACTACATTTGAAATATGATGGTTTAAAATTTCTGTGGGATTGGACTGTTAGTAAAGAAGTTACGGGAAAATAGTAAGGCGGGGACATGAGCTGGAGCTTGCTTACTGACTTGATTTGATTTACTACGTCTGAAAAATGACTTTAAAATTTCAGGGGATTGGACTGTTCGTATTGAATATATGCCAAGGGGACTACGGTGGGGGACAGGGGCTAGAATTTGCTTATTGACTTGATCTAGTTTACTACGTACAAAATATGGCTGATTAGATTTGGGCTAACATTGGGCTGTTAGTAGCGAAACTACACTTATAAATGTGGTCTCTAACAAATTTTGGTCTGAAAATGGCCTTTTTCAAATTTCGGTCTTACACTCTTAAATACACTTCTATGATTATATAAACTCTGAAATATTTTTATAAAACTGAACTCTGAAAAAAATTTTGAGTCTCAATTGGACTCTGATAATATTTGAATTTCTTCCATAAGAACTCTTTAAGAACGTGTAAGTAAGTAAAGTAAAAAAGTTACTGTAAAAAAATGTGTAAGTAAAACTCTGAATTATATCGGTCTTAAAATTGTCTTTGACTAACTTTTGTCTTGAACTGGATTCTGACGAATTTTGGGGCTTAAACTGGACTCTGATGAAAATTGCTCTGAAAATGGTCTCTGAATAATTTTTGTCATGAACTGGACTCTGGCTAATTTTCGGTCTTTACTGGACACTGACTAATTTTTGGTCTTTACTGGACACTGACGAATTTACTGATTTTCTGTCTTTACTGGACTCTGACAATATATGAGTCTAAAATAATCTCTGTCTTAAATAGACTCTGAAGAAAATCGGTCTTCATATGGTCTCTGAATTTCTTTTCTTCATTTAAACACTTTTCGGTGTTTAAACTGGTCTCTGTTCAATTTCGGTCTTTACACGATAACAGCCGCAAGTAGATATAAAAACTAAAAGTCATTGCTAAGATGTCTGTTTTCATTAACAAAACTTCTATGACAATATTCTCTGAAAATGGACTTTTTTCAAATTTTGGTCATATACTCTTAAATAAACTCCTATGATAATATGAACTCTGAAATATTTTCATAAAAACTGAATGAAAAATTGTGAATTTTCCCCATAAGAACTCTTAACAAACTTCTAAGAACATATTCTCAGAAAATGGTCTTTGAAAAATGCATAAATTGAAAACAAACAAAATTTGGCCATAGAGTTTACCTGGAACCCCCTACAGTCCACCGTCATGGGGATTTTATAGCATCACGTAGTTAGCTTTTTTGACACACTGTACTCCACTTCATATAGTCTAGGGTAGCTGCACTAATGCAGATGTACCTCATGTATTAATACAAAAAAAATCCACCATCCTCTTCCCTAATTTAACTGGAAAGCCGACAGTCCAGCGTCCTCTTTTTCCCAAAAAAAGAGGACGTTGGACTGCCATCCCTACTAGTGACCAGTGCCCGTACTCTACCCACTTACAGCATGACCAGTGCCCATACTCTACCCACTTACAGCATGACCAGTGCCCATACCCTACCTACTTACAGCATGTCCAGTGGTCGTACTTACAACAATGCTGGCCACACAGACACTCCGGCACAATATAGGATGATGCACCAGCGACAGGCTTCAAGTATATCAGATATATCTCCATATATTAATTTCTGATAATATTACTTTATATTATCTGAACATTTTACATATTACAACGTCTTACCTTGAGGAATGAGGTCTTTAATGCGTGCATTTGTTTCCTTTTCCACAGCGGCGTTGATCTCTTGACGCACCGCCTCGTCCTCATCAAAGTTCACAGTCTTGCAAGAAGTGAGAAACTTCTCTCTTAGCATGTGGTCAAAGTCACTCAGCAGAGTCATCTTCTCAGAAACATACGCCATGTTGGATGTCCTCAGCTCATAGTCAGCAACTTCTCTCTGTATGGTGAGAAATGTGTCATACTACTCTCTGTATGGTGAGAAATGTATCATACTACTCTCTGTATGGTGAGAAGTGTATCATACTACTCTCTGTATGGTGAGAAATGTGTCATACTACTCTCTGTATGGTGAGAAATGTATGATACTACTCGTTGTATGGTGAGAAATGTATGATACTACTCACTGTATATTGGGAAATGTGTCATACTACTCGTTGTATGGGGAGAAATGTATGATACTCGTAAGTAGTGATATGGTGAATAGTGAGCGGTAACACAACCAGCATAAATTCTTGAAAGTGTAGGAAAATTGGCCACGTGGAAAATTTGAAACGCATAATTCAGTGAATAGTGAGATAACACACACCAGACTGTACAACGGCCATGAGGCTTTACCTGTGTACACACTCGGTAGGCTGTTATACCTGCTTGATGAGATTCTGGGAGTTCTTCTACTCCCCAAGCCCAGCCCGAGGCCAGGCTTGACTTGTGAGAGCTTGGTCCACCAGGCTGTTGCTTGGAGCGGCCCGCAGGCCCACACACCCATACAGCCCGGTTAGTCCAGCACTTATCTTAGAATACAGTCTGTGAAGGGTCGCCCTCCCCCCTTTTACCACTGGTCAACAACCATCGGTCCACTGCCTTATTACCACTAATGACCAGGAGCTTCATGGTCAGAATGCCTTTAGTAAAGATGTGCACAGAAAGCAACAAGGAAGTAGATCACCACCAGAGCTTACAGTGCCAACTATGTTCAACAGCCATACACAGTAAATATGCCAACATGTCAAATAATGCCAGGAAAATCGGTCCCAGAGACCACTCGATGTACTGGTTCTGTAAAAAAGGATAATATTACTGTATCTCTCCAGTAAAAAATGAAGATGGGAGACAGGCCAACAGTTGTTAGGAAAGAAAAGGGAAAGTGGGACTCAGACCTGATACCCTAACACAGCCCCGATCTGATACCCTAACACAGCCCCGACCTGATATCCTAACACAGCCCCGACCTGATACCCAAACAAAGCCCCGACCTGATACCCTAACACAGCCCCGACTTGATACCCCTAACACAGCCCCGACCTGAAACCCTAACACAGCCCCAACCTGATATCCTAACACAGCCCCCGACCTGATACCCTAACAGAGTCCTGACCTGATACCCTAACACAGCCCTACCCTGATACCCAAACACAGTCCCGACCTGATACCCTAACACAGCCCGACCTGATACCCTAACACAGCCCCGACCTGATATCCTAACACAGCCCCGTCCTGATACCCTAACACAGCCCCGACTTGATACCCAAACACAGTCCCGACCTTATATCCTAACACAGCCCCGACCTGATACCCTAACACAGCCCAAACCTGATACCCCTAACACAGTCCAGACCTGATACCCTAACACAGCCCCGACCTGATACCCTAACACAGCCCCGACCTGATACCCTAACACAGCCCCGACCTGATACCCTAACACAGCCCCGACGTGATACCCTAACACAGCCCCGACTTGATATCCTAACACAGCCCCGACCTGATACCCTAACACAGTCCCAACATGATATCCTAACACAGCCCCGACCTGATACCCAAATACAGCCCGACCTTATTCCCTAACACAGCCCCGACCTGATACCCTAACACATCCCCGACCTGATACCCAAACACAGCCCCGACCTGATACCCCTAACAAATCCCAGACCTTATACCCTAACACAGCCCCGACCTGATACCCTAACACTGTCCCGACCTGGTACCCAAACACAGCCCCGCCCTGATATCCTAACACAGCTCCGACCTGATACCCTAACACAGTCCCGACCTGATACCCAAACACAGCCCCGATCTGATATCCTAACACAGCCCCGACCTGATACCCTAACACAGTTCTGACCTGATACCCCTAACATAGCCGCGACCTGATACCCTAACACAGCCACGACCTGATAACCTATGACATCCCCGACCTGATACCCAAACACAGCCCCGACCTGATACCCTAACACAGCCCCGACCTGATAACCTATGACATCCCCGACCTGATACCCAAACACAGCCCCGACCTGATATCCTAACACTGCCCCGACCTGATACCCTAACACAGCCCCGACCTGATATCCTAACACAGTCCCGACCTGATACCCTAAAACAGCCCCGACCTGATATCCTAACACAGTCCCGACCTGATACCCTAAAACCGCTCCGACCTGATACCCTAGCACAGTCCCGACCTGATACCAGCACATAGATTCGAATCCTCATCCCAGCTCCTGTGGATTTTCTCACTGATATATCACGATTATGAAATTTCTCTGTGCATTTGGTTCAGTGATGTTGGCTGGTAATATAATCATCTACCACTGTGTTGCCTAAACATTATTTCTGCACATCCTTCCTGACTGAACTTCTGATGCTTACAAGTTCTAACCTTCTCTGACAGTTTCAAAAGCTTTTCCAAGTTCCAGTTAATAAACCTCGCCCACTAGTCTCCACTTGCTAGTGGAGACTAGTGGGCGAGGTGTAGAGGAGAGGAAGGGCGAACCTCTTTAGCTCCTCGTGTACGAGTTCTTTCTATACTTGACATTAGTCTGGTTCAAGTACGTTTATTGTGACAATAAAATACATCTCAAAGGAATAGAGTAGCTTAGGTTATTTCTACCCCCTAATTATTCTGGAGATCCTACAGTGGATTTTATCGAGAGAATCGATTTCTACTTTGTTATAACATGACCACCAGGGCCGAGTATAACTGACCACCAGGGCCGAGTATAACTGACCACCAGGGCCGAGTATAACTAACCACCAGGGCCGAGTATAACTGACCACCAGGGCCGAGTATAACTGACCACCAGGGCAGAGTATAACTGACCACCAGGGCCGAGTATAACTGACCATTAAGGCCGAGTATAACTGACCACCAGGGCCGAGTATAACTGACCACCAGGGCCGAGTATAACTGACCACCAGGGCCGAGTATAACTGACCACCAGGGCCGAGTATAACTGACTACCAGGGCCGAGTATAACTGGCCACCAGGGCCGAGTATAACTGGCCACCAGGGCCGAGTATAACTCGGCCCTGGTGGGCCGAGTTATAACTGAATATTATTTATTCCTCCCAGATGATACAATTCTGGATAAAACCCCAGCAGAGGACAGCGAATCACTTCTAACTGCCTGCATGGAAATCTCCAATGTTTTCAAAGACATTCTCAAGGACACCCAGGCAGAACTAGAATTGGAGCTACATTTCAGCGAGCCGGGATCCGGATGCGATGTTGGCGTCGGGGCAAGATGCGTTTTTGCCGCCGGTGCCGGATGCAATGTTGGCGCTGGGACCGATGCTATGCTGGCGTCATATGCGAAGTTGGGGTCGGTCGCGGTATCGGCACCTGAACTGGCTGCAATATTGGCGCCAGGGTTTTTGAAACAAACAAAACAAGGATCCAAATTCTGCCGATATTATTAATGGGGTAACTGGAAACATGGGATATCGGGGAGAACAAATGGACTGTATGTAACTGTGACTATGACTATGTAAGTTGTCTGTGCGTGGGAGGGACTGTCCGTTCTATCACTGTAACACTAATATGTCCGAATAGGACATATTAGTGTTACAGTGATAGAGCACGGATCATAGTTATCACAAAGTGTAAAACTACATTTCGAAAAAAAAAATACAGTGAGGCCATTAGAACTTTGTGTTTAATAGAGAATAACCACCTCTCACCAGCCCACGTGGGAACGTAGTGCCTACACTAGGCCATACACCAGGCTCAAGTCTATATATACTTACCTCGGTATACTTAGAACATTGTGAACAGTGATAGAGTAAATAGTGAACGGTAACAAAACAGTGTAACACGGGTTAGGGTTTCTCTCTTTACTTCACTTCCTTCTTTGCCCTCTCTACCCGTATTCTTACTTTTTATTCTCTACCAAGGGACTCCAAAACTTTTACCAAAGCCAACTCCACGCCACGTGGTCCTAAGACGATTGACCGACTTAGGATTCTACACCCAGTATGACGTGACCTAGGCTCTGAGCAAAACCCTAGAGTCGCCTCTACGCTGCCACCACCAGACCAGCAACACAGAGCAATGATCGAGGTCTGAATCGATCACGCTAATTAATCAACCTTGGGGCTTGATCCCCACTCAATGACCGTGGAAACTTGAGTGTGGAATTAATTACAAGGGAATGATTCGATGTTAGAATCGGCGCCCAATCCAACTCTACCTCGTGTGGACCACGTGACCAGGACAAGTTTACACATAAAACACATGGAAATAATAAAATGCAAAATATTAACAAATTGAATTTATTAAAAGAAAAACTAAAACAAAATCTAAATATGTTCACTCCCTGTCACTTTAACACTCCCTACTTGACCTGAATGGCAAATGAGACTATTTCTATACATAACCATAGCAACTATACCTCTATGTTTTACCAGCTAAAGATGTTGGGCTGGTCTCGGGGAGAGGTAAGATGTTTGACCTCTCCCAGCTGCTCCTGTTTCCACACTGATCTGTCCTCGTCTGATCTAGCCCAGACTAGAACATTGTATTGTTCCGCATCGCTTACCCAGTTACTTTAGCAAGGTTAAGTTATAACAATTAACCTGTTGTACTTAATTGATCCAGACTGGTTGAATTATTTTACCGAAATTAAATTACACAAACATCTAACGGCAGAGCTGTTCCCGATTCCCCAAAAATGGTTAATTGAACTTTGAGAAATAGTAGACCTGTCAACCCTGCTGACCTATGACCGCCGGTCACTCCGCCTTACAAGTTAGATCTGATTCGTGACGTCACTGATGGTGACTTAAACTCAATAATTAGAATACTCTTGATATTGTACCCAGTACTATTATACAATACAATTTTAATACAAAATGAATAAAGGCTAATTTCTCTAAATTACTGAATACTATAGGATGATTCATTATACGCAGCTATGAACAAAGCTTCGGTTATTTCCACCGCGA